TGTTTGGATTATTTGTTGGTGATTTGTTTTTGGATATTAAGTTTTTTTTTTTAATTACCATCCTTGAATACCTAAATTATTTTGAATGGATATTTGTTTTTGAACTTTTAAGCATGTCACCGATTCAAATTAATTTTTATTTCTAGGTATGACTAGTGGGAAAGTTAGTATAATGCAACCACGCACACCGTTTTGTGTGAACGCATATGTTTCACTACTTCGTACCTAAGAAAGCACCTTTGACAACCCTCTCAGGCCCATCCAACCTGATCAAAGGATATGGTAAGGCACGTATAATGTTGTCCAATGGTACAATCTTGACCATTGAAAAGGCACTTTATTCTCTACGTTCCGGAAAAACGTTGTTGAGTTTCGAGGACATTAGAGATAATAATACCATGCTAAAACGTATGTAGAAAATGAAGTTGAATTTATGTACATCACTTCCTACGAATATGGCCATAAGCATATTCTAGAAAAGATGAAGTGTATCCCGAGTGGTCTGTATACTACAACCATATGCCCTATAGAGAGCCACTATGTGGCCAACTTTACCTCAAGGACCGCGCATGAAATTACACTTTGGCATAATCGTTTAGGACACCTTGGACGAACAGCGATGTGTCGCATCCTCAAATCTTCACACAGGTATCCACTAACCCGAAGTTATGTTCAATTTAAGGAATTGCATGTCAAACTTGCTTTATGGGAAAGGTTATTATTAAGCCTTCTTAGGACAAGATTCGTTCAAATCCTCCTATTTTTCTACAAAGGATTCAGGGGGACATTGGTGAATCAATTCACCCTCCATGTGGACCACTTAGATATTTTATGGTACTGGTTAACGCTTCCACACACTGGTCACATGTGTGCTTGTTGTTCACAAGGAACGTTGCATTCTCCAAACTATTAGCTCATGTTATCAAGCTCAGGGATCACCACCCTGATTATCCAATTGAATATATTCAATTGGATAATGCTAGAGAATTCACATCTAACACTTTTGATGACTATTACATGTCGGTTGGGGTTAAAGTTGAACATCCAATACCCTATGTTCACACCCAGAACGGCCTAGCAGATGCATTCATTAAGCACTTATAAATGATTTCTCGATTGTTAATCATATGTACCAAGCTCCTGATCGCTGCTAGGGGCCATGCAATATTGCACGTAGTCATGTTAGTCCGCCTGAAACTTGTTGCGGCCTAACCATATAGCACATTCAGTTGGTTAGCAAATACGAACCCAACATATTACATCTGCATATTTTTAGTTGTGCGGTCTATGTGCCGATTTCGCCACCTTTACATACAAAAATGGGGACACAGCAAATATAAGAACCTATGTCAGATATGATTCTCTTTTGATTATCTATCACTTAGAACCTTTGAGAGGCAATATTTTTACCACTCCTTTTGCAGATTGTCACTTCTATAAGACAGTACTCCTGTTATTAGGGGGACATAAGAACATCACTGGTCCTGAAGAACAATGCAAATTATCGTAGATGACTCCCACTTTGTCTCATTTAGATCTATGCACCACTCAGTCTAAAACTGAAGTGAAGTGCATATTAGATCTTCAGAGCATGCCAGATACTTTCACAGATCTAGCACAAGTGACAAGATCACATATTCCAGCTGCAAATGTGCCTGCAAAGTTGGATGTACCAAATGTACGACGAACTTCCCTCCTAAAGGCCCGGGACGCCACTTTGGCCAACTGGCTAGCCAATCATCTGCCCTTACAAAAAAGGGTGGCAGACCACTTGGTTCAAAGGATTCACACCCCCAAAAGAGGAAACCCACGACACAAGTTATTGAGTCTACTATGAATCCAAATGTCGCCTAATCATTTTATCCAACTCATGAGGAAATGTCGCCTACTCATTCTATCCAACTCATGAGGAAATTCTTGATTACGGAAGTGTCCTTGAAGAGACGAATTTAGCTCCTGATAATTGTGAGATTTTGGGGTCATTATGCTAGTTTGGATGATGTTTGGTGTAGAAATAAAATGATTATCGACGATGCATTAGCATATACAGTAGCTGCTGAGATCATGTTGACCAATGATTGAACCCGTTTCATTAATGAATATCAACGTAGAACTGATTGGTCAAATTAGAAACAAGCAATCCAAGTTGAGCTCAATTCGTTTGCAAAATGTAAGGTGTTTGGACCTGTAGCCCCTACTCCTCTACATGTGAAGCCCTTTGGCTACAAATGAGTTTTCATTCGGAATCGTAATGAGAAAAACGAAATTGTAGGTTACAAAGCTCGTCTTGTTACGCAAGGCTTCTCATAACACCCCGAGATTGACTATGACGAAACGTATTTAGCCGTTATGGATGTGATTACTTTTCATTACCTTATTAGTTTGGTAGTTTTCGAAAAACTGAGTATGCAGCTAATGGAAATAGTAACTGCGTATCTCTATGGGGATCTTAATACGGAAATTTGTATGAAAGTTCCCTAATGAGTTAAATTGACTGGATAAAATTTTTCCAAACCTTAAAACATGCATTCAATTCGACTGAGGCATTCACCCTACGGTTTAAAGCAATCCTAAAGAATGTGGTATAACCGTTTGAGTGAGTATTTGACTAGTCAGGGATATGTGAACAACGAATTATACCCTTGCATGTTCATTAAGAAGTCACAATCCGGTTTTGCGATAGTTGCAGTTTATGTCAGCAACATGAACCTCATCGAAACTCCTGAAAAGCTTAAGAGAACTGTCTCGCACCTAAAGTTGAAATTTAAGATGAAAGATCTCAGAAAGACTTCATACTGTCTCAGTCTCGAGATAAAGCACCATTCGGATGGAATCTTAGCACATCAATTGAACTACACCCAAAAGGTGTTGCACCGCTTTAACGAGGATAAATGAAGCATTCGAGTACTCCTATAGTCGTATGATCGCTAGATGCAAAACGAGATCCTTTTCGTCCAAAGGAAGATGATGAAGAGATTTTGGAACTCGAAGCTCCTTATTTAAGTACGATAGGCACTTTATTATACTTAGCTCAATACATTAGACCCGACATCTCCTTCGCTGTTAATCTTTTGGCAAGATACAGTAATGCACCGATGCCCAAACACTGAACTGGTGTTAAAGACATCTTCTGTTACCTTAATGGTACTACGGATCTGGGACTGTTCTATCCCTACGAATCCTTGAGTAATGCTGCATCCCCTTATCTCGAGTCGATTCTTGTCTCGTTGGTTATGCCAACGCATGATATTTATCTGATCTACACAAGGCGCGCTCTTAAACGGGTTATGTCTTTACTATTGGAGGCACTATAATATCTTAAAGGTTAACTAAATAGACCCTAGTTGCCACTTCGTCTAATAATGCTGAAATTCTCACCTTACACAAAGCTACTCAAGAATGTTTCTAGCTGAAAGCGGTTATGGGCCATATTCAAAACTCATGCGATCTTTACCCCGTCATTGACGTCCCGCTGACGATCTATAAAGATAATGCAGCATGCATCGAACTTCTTAAGAAAGGTTACATCAAAAGAGACAACACTAAGCACATTGCACCAAAGTTCAACTTCTAAGATCAACAGCAAGAGCATCAGAAGATTGAAGTCACGCAAATCCTCTCACAAGACAATCTGGTCGATCTTTTCACCAAATCACTACAAAAGGTGACATTTCAGAAGCTTGTTTAAGGAATAGGTATGCGTAAACTTTCTAAGTTGTAACATTGTTAGTTCTCTTTGAAAATATGTCAAACTCAAGGGGAGTATCCTGAAGTATACTTGATTGATCTTAATGTGCTTTTTTTCCCTACGTTTAGGAGCATTTTTTCCTTTAGGTTTTTGCTACCTAACAAGGTTTTGATGAGGCATCCACCTTGGGTTAATCATATCCCTGATAACATCACATATATGTTTCATTTGACTTTGCATTCTCTCACGCATTTTTCCTTAGACTATGGGTTTTTGTCCCTACTTGGGTTTTACCATAGCCATTGGGTTTGTTGTGAGACTTAGTTCCATATGCAAGTTCATACTTTACTTTGAGACTATCATGTTCCCAGAATCAGTGTCAATGAGTCAACTTCCTCAACTCTACATGATGTTGAATCTACTTAAGTATTTACACATTCAAATAGGAGTGTTATAAACATTGCATGTAAGTATGATTGTGTAAATCTTAGGACTTGTATTCCTTGGAGGAGAATGATTCTTCCTTCCCTTATTACTATAAATAAAAGTACTACGTAAAAGGAATAACACATCCTCTACACAACCCTACAAACACATCTTTCTCTACTTTCTCTCTGCCATGCCCCCACTCTCTCTTCTTATAGATTAGAATAAGCAACAACACAATATACATACTAATAATAATACATTACAATTGCCATGAACATTTACATATAGAAGATATTTAGGTTAATCTCAGTTTACTACCCTGAAGTTTCTTGGTTTTCAACATTTCATACATGATTTTTTTTCGTCCCATTTGATACCTAAAATCATAATTCTATGACACTTTCATACATCAATTAAATTTTTCGTTAGAACATCTGTTAACTAATGACGTGGCACCCAAGTGGACAATGACTAGGCACCACATGTCAATATGGGCCCATGGGGGTATTAAAAATTAAATAAAGAATTCAATAAATAAATAAAATAATAAAAATAAAAATAAAAACTTTTCTTTTCCCCTCCCTCTTCTCTTCCAGATTCCATTCCTCCCTCTTCACATCCCTGACCTGCCTTCTCCTTCTCCTCTACCCTCTTCACCCCCTTCCATTCTTTCTCCCCATATCAACCTTCACCCAACCTTTTTTCTTAGAACCATACAAATGCCACCCTATATAAACCACCCCAATCTTTTCCCCTCCCAAAACTGTCGCCAGTCATCACCCTATTTCCTCACACCTTCAATCTCTCTCTCTCTCTCTCTCTCTCTCTCTCTCTCTCTCTCTCTCTCTCTCTCTTTAGAACTTTCATTTTTCTCTCTCTAGAAATGGCGGGTTTAGGAGTGGTTGCGATGTACGGAAACAACGCAATTGCTAAGAGCAAGAAGTTATCATTCTCCGTCAAAGTGGATCTCGCCCAAATGTTTCACAGCAATGTGATTATGGACATCGTCAATGACCAGCAAACCTAGGTCATGGAGAAGGCCGGCGCATGCGCCATCATGGCCCTAAAGCTTGTTCCCGCTGACATTCGCGCCCAAGGTGGCATCGCCCGAATGTCCGACCCGCAACTCATCAAAGAATCAAGCAGGCTGTGACAATCCCCGCCATGGCCAAGGCCTCTGATCGAGGCGTTGATCTCTTCGTTGGTGGCGAACTTAGCAGCGCCATCAATTTAGATTTAGAAGGTCTGGATTTAGATTGGAGGGTTTGGATTTCGAGGTTTAGGGTTTGGGCGATGGGGGTGATGAAGGCGACAGGGGTGGAATAGTTTAGGTTAGGGTGGGTGAAGGTTGATCTAGGGAGAGAGAAAGGAAAGGGTGACGAGGGTGGTGGTGGAGAGGGAGGAGGTGGGTCGGGGAGGTGAAGAGGGAGGAGTGGGAGGGATCGAGGAATAGAAACTTTTTTTTATTTTTTATTTTTTAATACCCACGTGGGCCTATATTGACATGTGGCGCCCAGTCAGTGTCCATGTGGGCACGACATCGTCAGTTAATGGAGGTTCTGATGGAAAACTTAACAGATGTATGAAAGTGTCCCAGAATTATGACTTTAGGTACCAGACTAGGACTAGAAAAAACTTCATGTACAAAATGTTGAAAACCAAGAAACTTTAAGGTAGTAAACTGAAATAGTAGATGACAGCGTGGTAACTCCCATAGCATGGCGATTCAATATATTTAATTTCTACAATAATATATATATTTGTACGTAGTGAGCTCATGACTTGCAGTTACTTAAGTTAAAGACCACATGCAATTTGACTCTATACCAAGTACCAGAAGAATTCACCACGAGAAACATATTTCTGTACTTATATATTCGTATGCATATTAATCAACGTGTAAGTTCATAAATGACTAACTGAAAATAATGTTAAATCCAAAAGTAATGTTACATCATGATGATAAACCTTCTGACTTGGTGTTTCCGTCTATGCAGGTGAAGTCAATATCCTATATGTGTAGCTGAGATTCTGAAATATCTAAAGCGTCAAAAGGAAAAGAGAATCATAAAAATAAAGTTAAAAATATATAAACAAAGAGGTGAGAAAATACGAGGTCAATGGTATGGATCCGGAAGAAATTAAACAAGTGGGCAGCTAGTGCTACACCTTTCCAGTAAGGACCAATTGAGGAGGACAATTCCAGTAAGGACTAATTAAGGAGGACAATAAGACTTCATACGTATATAATAGAATGTAAGATTAATTATCTGAGTAGGGAGCCAAATGGTTGGTCCATCCAGAAAATGACTCGCACGCGTGTATATTATTTATTATTATATATATGATAGTATTAGGTTATGTATATTATTAATTCGTGGCATTAAGACAAAGTCAATGTTGATCGGCTTGGTGATGCATATGATATTGGAAGTGGGTGAAAATTATAATCCTAACTCTTCATTTTTGTCAAATTAAGCTCATCACCTACCTCATATTTGATAGCCTGTATTAACAAATTGGTAACCAAATCTTTATACCTATGGATTCTGGTTGGAATAATAGGCCTCTTACCACTGTGCTTTTTGCTGATTCGTTAGCTAGGTTTGATCAGCTTCTTCCAGTACTGTATACAATGATAATAATCAACAATTCGTTAGCTAGGTTTTTTTTTTTTTTTTTTTTTTGGTCGAAACATTCAATTTATTAAATTGTTGAAGATACAATTTGTGATGCAAGAGCCCAAGAAGCAATGTTTGAGGGAAACTTGATTGTATATTTTCTAACAAATAAGAAAGTACATTGTTAAATGCCACAAACCTTGCACATTAGGCTTTACTTCTTTAATATTAAATGAGGAGGTGGCAGAATGTACTGTCCAACATAAGATTATCTTATAACCGCCAAAGTTTATTGTCCAACATATATATTAGATAAATTCTGAGTTGATAGACTGAGTTACACTACCAATATTGATTGTTATATCATGAACATCTTCGTCTTGTTACTGTGCATACGTAAATTATTGTTGTGGAATCACCGATCATCTTTATTCATTTTTGGGCTCTCTAACTTCACATTAACATACATCGTCAGCATTGCAAGATGGATAACATTACACTATCACAGTCAAAGTTTATAGTCCAAGACAACAAAATAATAGTACAGTTATAGTTATAACACAGAACGATATAGTTATTACTATAACAAAGTTGGTCTTTATATTGTAAACGCTCTAGTAGAGTAAAGATATTATACATCAAAATCTCTCTATAGTGATACTCAAAAGGAATAACCTTCTTATAGTCATAAAAGTTCTAGTCTCAACTTGGGTTAATTATATATAAGAATAAACTCTACATTATAATAAGTTATATTTTTTTCTGATCACATCTTAATAAAATTGGTCTTTATTAGTTATAATTGTTATTTAGTCCAAAAGTATGCATGTGACAAATAAAAAATTTAGATGAACTACAATATTTTTCTAAAGTTTTTTTGGGACAATGCTTTATTGTTTAGAATTAGTGTCACATCTTTGAACTTGTGAGTATCGTCAACATGAACACCTTCTTGTTGAAGTCAAGGTGTTTCTAACTTCTCAATCATTTTTACTTCTTGACATGAAACTTTTGGTATGCCTTTAGAGATTAAGTGTCTCTCTTTTTCAACGTTACATCTCAAAAATTGGCGTACTTCATTAGTTACTAGTTCTTGGAATCCATACAACTTTTATTAAAGATAATTAACTAAATTTATTTAAGTAACTTTGTGCCAACATGACAAAGGGGGCGTTGGGGGGAGCGAAAGGTGCATTCGCACAGGGCCCCAAATTTGAAGGGATCCCCAAAATTTTTGCCATGTAATGTTATGTAAAAGGGAATTGTTATTAGCACTCCAAAAATCTAATTTGACACTCCAAACTTTCTATAATTAGAAAGAAAAATACACTTGTGAGGAGTGTAGAATGAGATTTTTGGAGTGTTAATAACAATTCCCATGTAATAATGTTATATATTTAGAACATTGTTTGTGTTAGTACTTTAAAATCTCATTGTGCATTCCTTATAAGTGTTTTTTTTTTTTCCTTTCTAAATATAAAAGGGTAATGATAGGGAGACTAAATTTGTGAACTAACGGAGTTACTAATAGGAAATGATCACGTTTATCAATGCTTAAATAATAATTCAATCATCAACTTACATGTTACTATCCCTAGCGTCACTCAATATAAAAATTTCTAGTACAATGAGATATTCTGATTGTCAACAATAACACCCTAAAAAACGATAGTTTTCCAATTTTATTATATAATAAGGTTATATATTCAAGTGAACTTTAAAGTTAGAATTTTGAAGTTTTTTTTCATGTTTGATTGTTTAAGATTGAACTGCTTTTGATTATCTAATGAAGGTTATGTTCGAAAATTTTTTATTTATAATTAATGACATTTGTAAACTTGCAATCAGTGAGTGCTAAAGTTTATTTTGATTTAAGTAATTGTTTTCTAACATCAATACATTGTTTTACTTTTTTTTATACTACTTTAAGGATGAGCCCTTTTATAAATTTCGCACAAGATTTCCGAAATCTCAAAGACAACCCTGCAACATGACTATATAGAAATTTTACTATACATGGATGTGATTGTTATCGTTCAAACTAAAAGGTGGAAAGATAAAAAAAAAAAAAATTTCTTTTAAAGGGTATGTATATACATTGCAACCTCCCAGGATCCAAAGAGTCAAAGTGATCTTTCTCGAAGGCGGGCATCATTAGTTTCTTTCAACCCATTTGAGACTTGGAAAGAAAAGGACAAAAGTAAGCGCGCCAGTCATGTCACTTGTATGCCTAAATGCACAGTTCCATTCTTCCAGATGAGATAACAATCCCTCTAATTCCAAGAATTCTTCACTTCTTCACGCGTTCAAATTTGTTGGTGTCTTCTACTATCCAGAGGAACCTTAATTAGCCCTTTCTTCTTTTTTCTTGGATTCCTCCGGACCCATTTTATGATGTATATAGTCATCTAATACGACACGATTTGGCTTTTACATAGCAAAGCTAAAAACAAAGACCCAAAAAGTTATATTTACAAAACTTAATTGTAAATGACTGGCTGCATCCAGTGGAGAAAGAGAGATGGTGATGTTGACGATGACCGGATTGGATGAGAACGAGAAGTCATCATCATCCAGTGAATTCAAAACTTGTCAACAAATTAAAGTTAGCTTCTAATGTTAATTTAGCAAATTTTTGGATTTGGACGAACAAACGGTAGGTATAAAAGGATGTGAAAGTCAGACCACTGCTACATTCCCTACATTTGTCTTCAAAATCTTATTCATCGATTTTTTTCTTACAATTATTCGTTGATTCTCATCACGTAATGTGTGGTTTTCCATTTTAGATCTTGTTTATCAATAACTTTGAGGTGGCAGAGAGTGGAGTCTCACTTTTGAAAAAGTTCCCTTAGCATTCATTTGAATTAGAATTCAAGAGTGACAATTATGCAGCAGAAGTGAAGGAAGAAGCAGAGAGAGCTAGGAGGAAAGCACGAAAATGGCAGCTGTAAAATATCTTTTATTACAGAACTTAAGTGTTGGTCATGGAGCAGGTTTGGTATGCGATGTCCTGCTGGAACTTGCCTAATCTCCTGTTTGGCGGATGCTTGTGAGAAGATTTGAAGATACGGTGCATCACAACTTGTTAATGGTATCCCAAATAGTCATGCCAAAGCAAAACTTGGTGTACAATCTCTAATGTAGGGCTGGCCACATGGTGGTTCTCTATGGAGCAGATGGTTGTAGTATACAAGCCACTCAGGAGACGCTTCATCTTCTCTAGAATACGATTTTAGGCATATTTATAGAAGTGATGCACAGAAATTCAACTATGTTTTCTACAAAGGTTTCAACGTGATAATTATTGAAAGAGGAAAGATGTGCTCAAGCATGCGAAGAAAGCTCTTTAGATCGAAAAATAAAGAAATAGTTAATATATTCAAGATAATTACGTATTTACAAAATATTGTCTCAATAGCTTATCACAGTTCGGAAAGTCATATACGTAAGGGCCCTGACCGAAGGTGCCTTAGGTCATATCTCGAATGTCTTTAAAGCTCAACAACGTTCTTCGGGAACTTGGAGAATA